AAATTATTTTTTTTGATTATATAACCCTCATTATGTACGCCCCGGAACCTAGTGGAGTAACACTACCACTATAAAATGTTGTTTATAGCCAAGTCCCTCTTCCCCAGCGAGCTGGTGGGACGTCTACAAAATTTAGAAATGGAACGTAGAAGTCTCCCTCGCGTGCCGTGGTCTCAATCAAAATCAATCAAAAATAATCCTAGGGGTAATCGTGATACGTACTCGTAACCGATAAGAGGACCCCAGGAGTTGGTGTGTTTGTATGTATTATGTTTGGTCTTGTCTTGTTGAGTAGAAAGTACTTTTCGACAGTACCATTCCTTCACTTTCGTTTTTGTTTTGTCTTTTTTTATCAGTAGTGGTAAAATCGGTAGTAGTTCAGTTTGGATTTGTTTTAAATGGTTGTTATATTAAATGTACTATTATGATAATGATTAAATATTAAACTGGGTGGTTCATGTCAAAAGTTTAAATTAAACATCAAGAGTCTATAACAAAACTCGTTTACAACTTTACATACAAACTAACAGAACATTACTATACCTGGCCATTGCTTAAGGTCGACTGGTAACCGAGACATATCACTGACAAAAGACAGACTATAAACTAGAACTAAACCCATTTTATTTGGAAAAAAGAATAACGTACAAGACCAAACTATCAATGACACATCCATGACACGATACTTGAAAACACTGTTATCATACACCAATTCACACGTGACATTCATAAGAAGTGTTTTAATTGTCTCTTATTTACCTGGAGAACAGATTGTGAAGGTAGCTAAAAGTCACCAGAGGGTCGTAAACGTCAGTGAGACCAAGACATCCTCCGGTGACGTCTTTGTAGCACGACGGAATAAGACACGATGAACAATCAATAAATTTAGCCAAAGACTTCCGTGATCCTGGTTTGTTGTTTTGTCATTAGTTCGACACTATCGTGGTTTCGTAGGTTTGAACAGAGGACTGTAGATAACCGCTTTACAAAATGTTAAGAAAATTGTTCACTTGTGTGGGGAAGGGTAAAATGTGGTGTTGTAATAGTAAACAACATCTGGTTCTGGTCACACTAGGTCTCAAATAGGGATATGTTGAATCAAGGACTGAACAAATTACAGTTATACCAAATTTACATTGACGTAAATCAAGTGTAAAATTGACTGGTCTACATACTCAAAATTTTCTGTTCACGGTGGTCGAGGATTCCAGTAGGTAAGTTACTACTGGCACTGTAAATCTCTACAATAAATTTCCTCCTTTTGTATAGACGGTATTCACATTTAAGGACTTAACTTTGTGTTTGGTAATTACTTTACTAAGACAAAAAATTTTAGGGAACAATTTCCTCCTTCATATAGTGTACGAGCCGTGGGTCCAAGTGTGTGACATTTCCCAATCGTATCAATAAATTCCATCTGGTCTTAATTTTATTTAATCAATTTACTCAATAACTATAAGGTGGTCAAGAGTGTGGTAAAGTCCCTGAAATAGTTGACGTAATCTTGTCTGGTGGGTTTCCATGACTCTCCTTTGAAAATTCACTCTTTAAGATGTTGAAAACATTGACTGGTTTTAAGAAAGAGGGTCTTTACGAACAGATCTTACCGCAATGGGGTCTCATCTTGCATGTTGCCGGGGAAGATCTCTTGTATAATGAAAGTATGGAATTTACCGATACTTTCATTTACAAGAGATCTTCCCTGCAACATGCAAGATGAGACCCCCATGCCGGTAAGATCTGTCAGTAAAGACCCTCTTCTAAAACCAGTCAATGTTTTCAAACATCTTAAAGTAGTGAATTTTCAAGGAGAGTCTGGAAACCCACCAGACAAGATTACGTCACTCATTTCGAGGGACTTTGACACACTCTTGACCACCTTATAGTTATTTGAGTAATATATTAAATAAAAGTTAGACCAGATGAATTATTGATACGATGGGGAAAATGTCACACACCTTGGAACCCACGGTCGTACACTATTAATGAAGGAAGGAAATTGTTCCTAATAATTTTTGTCTTCAGTAAAGTAATTACCAACACAAATTTAGTCTAAATGTTGAATACCGTCTATACAAAGAGGAAATTTATTGTAGGAGATTTACAGTCCATAGTAACTTACCTAAACTGGAAATCCTCGACCACCTGAACAGCAAAATTTGATATGAGACGCAGTCAATTTTACACTTGCGATTTAACGTGCAATGTAATTTGGTATAACTGTAATTGTTCAGTTCCTTTGATTCAACAATCCCTATTGAGACCTAGTTTGTGACAGAACCAGAATTTGTTTAACTATTACAACACACATTTTTACCCTTCCCAACCAGTGAACAATTTTCTTAACATCTTTGTAAACGGTTATCTACAGTCCCTACTGTTCAGAACCTACGAAACCACGATGTGTCGAACTAATGACAAACAACAAACCAGATCACGAAGTCTTTTGTCTAAAATTTATTTGATGTTCATCGTGTCTTCATTTCCGTCGTGCTACAGCAGACGTCACTAGGATGTCTTGGTTCACTGGACTTTACGACTCTGTGACTTTAAGCTACTCACAATCCTGTCTCCAGGTAACATAAAGACAATTTAAAACACTTCCTTATAATGTCACTGTGTGAATGGTGTATAATAACCAGTGTTTTCAAGTATCGTGTCATGAGATGTGCTATGTAGTTTGGTCTGTACGTTATCTTTTTTTCCAAATAAAATGGGTTTAGTTCTAGTTTATAAGTCTGTCTTTGTTCATGATAGTCTCGTCTACCAGTCGACCCTTAAGCAATGGCCAGGTATATAAGTTCTGTTGAGTTTGTATGTAATTTTGTAAACGATTTTGTATAGACTCTTGATGTTTAATTTTTAAACTTGACATGAACACCCGAGGTTAATCATTAATCATTTAATCATACATAGTACATTTAATATAACAACCATTTTAAAACAAATCCACAAAATAACTACTCGTTTTACACTACTGATAAAAAGACAAAACAAAAACGAAGTGAAGGAATGGTACGGTGAAAAGTACTTTAACTAACTCAACAAGACAAGACCAAACATAAACATACAAAACACACCAACTCCGGCCGTCTTCTTATCGGTTACGAGTACGATCAGCGATTTACCCCTAGGATTATTTTGATTTGATTTGATTTGAGACCACGGCACGGGGGAGACTTCGACGTTCATTCTAAATTTTGTAGACGTCCCACCCAGCTCGCTGGGGAAGAGGGACCTTGCTATAAACAGACATTTTAATACGTGGTAGTGTTACTAACTAGGTCCGGGCGTACATAATGAAGGGGTTAATATAATCAAAAAAAAATAATTTTACACGTTAGCGAGAAACGGGTCACAGAAAATGTTGAGATGTAGAACCTGCTGTTTGTTTACAATAAAGGTGGAATTGTCAAGAGGACACCATTATTGGTACGATGTTACCACTTTAGTTATAAAATCTAACCTTATGATATAAACCGAACCAAGATCGAGATGGAAATTTGAAGGTAAGTTTATTTCTAAACAGACGAGAATATCTCACCAGTGATTTTGATAGGGAAATTTGACATCTAAATAAAACATTGTTTAATTTAGAAGGGGTTTAAGTGTGTACTTAACCTTAGAGAATTTCTTATTAAACAAATATACTACTTTTCTAACTTATTATACAAGATGGGAGTCACACAAAAATCCCAATAAATTATCAAAGGAGAAAGAATGAAATATATAAATGGTTAACTAATTAAGTACAGATTATTTAGAAAAAGAAATGCATAAAGAGCAACCAGTTATTCACACAAATACACATTTGAGTGAGTGAGGGCAAAAGAAAGAGAGGGGGAGACCAACAGTTCGGTGCTGGGGGAGTGCAAGACGACCTGGTACGGTTGAGGAGGTAGGACAGAAGAGGAGGCAGGTGGAAGAGGAGTCAGGTAGGCGAGAACCTAGGAAGGCGATATTGAGAAAAGTCACTGGGTTGACGAAACGTAAAGTAGAGGAGGAAAAGTCAGAGAAGCGACAACGTACCTCCCGTATAAGGCGAGAGTACAGGGTGTTAGACGAGAACACGGTGTAGAGCACCGAGTCGAACCTTGAAGTACAGGACACCCCCTGGTTACTCTCACACGGGGAAAGACCTACGGAGTCCACCTCTACCAAGACCTACGTCAGAGCAACAACAACCAAGTCGAGACCAAGAGACAGACAAGCGACCTCTTCCTCCTCAGAGGACACCACTCCAGAAAACAGACGAACCTTCTACCCCAGCATCGCCAGACTGTCCGCCTCTCTCTCTCTCTCTAGAGCCCTGCGTAATGGATATCAATTAAGATTGTGTGGCTCCTTTTTATTTAGGTTAGGAAAGGGTGATAAAAGGATTTGGTACTGATAGAAAGAAACTCAATTTACGCTCTTTGCCCAGTGTCTTTTACAACTCTACATCTTGGACGACAAACAAATGTTATTTCCACCTTAACAGTTCTCCTGTGGTAATAACCATGCTACAATGGTGAAATCAATATTTTAGATTGGAATACTATATTTGGCTTGGTTCTAGCTCTACCTTTAAACTTCCATTCAAATAAAGATTTGTCTGCTCTTATAGAGTGGTCACTAAAACTATCCCTTTAAACTGTAGATTTATTTTGTAACAAATTAAATCTTCCCCAAATTCGCACATGAATTGGAATCTCTTAAAGAATAATTTGTTTATATGATGAAATGATTGAATAATATGTTCTACCCTCAGTGTGTTTTTAGGGTTATTTAATAGTTTCCTCTTTCTTACTTTATATATTTACCAATTGATTAATTCATGTCTAATAAATCTTTTTCTTTACGTATTTCTCGTTGGTCAATAAGTGTGTTTATGTGTAAACTCACTCACTCCCGTTTTCTTTCTCTCCCCCTCTGGTTGTCAAGCCACGACCCCCTCACGTTCTGCTGGACCATGCCAACTCCTCCATCCTGTCTTCTCCTCCGTCCACCTTCTCCTCAGTCCATCCGCTCTTGGATCCTTCCGCTATAACTCTTTTCAGTGACCCAACTGCTTTGCATTTCATCTCCTCCTTTTCAGTCTCTTCGCTGTTGCATGGAGGGCATATTCCGCTCTCATGTCCCACAATCTGCTCTTGTGCCACATCTCGTGGCTCAGCTTGGAACTTCATGTCCTGTGGGGGACCAATGAGAGTGTGCCCCTTTCTGGATGCCTCAGGTGGAGATGGTTCTGGATGCAGTCTCGTTGTTGTTGGTTCAGCTCTGGTTCTCTGTCTGTTCGCTGGAGAAGGAGGAGTCTCCTGTGGTGAGGTCTTTTGTCTGCTTGGAAGATGGGGTCGTAGCGGTCTGACAGGCGGAGAGAGAGAGAGAGATCTCGGGACGCATTACCTATAGTTAATTCTAACACACCGAGGTAAAATAAATCCAATCTTTCCCACTCTATTTTCCTAATCGTACTATCTGTCTTAAATGTTAAATGTCATCTAAACACAATTCATGTCTACTAATGGTTTTACCGTATCCCTTAACATTGCTTTCACCCACTGTAACATGTTTACTCCAATTAACTCTTTCAGGAAACCATTTTTCTTCTATAAATTTAAATACCTACATGTTTCAAGCACCACATATTTCACACACTATAAAAGAACGTCCCCATTTTTTCTCCATCATTTTAAATCTCACTGTTATTTAGAACATTTGAACACTAGAACACATTAGAACACTTGTGACTGGACATATCTGCAATGTCGCCACAATCTGCTGGGGAATTTTGTTCATAGAGTTTGTACGTACAAAGCTGTACTTGTGGGTTAGTAGCCTGTTTCAACTGTAATCATTTTCAATAATTGTGCTCAGATCAGTCACCGGTCGGTTGTTCATAACAGGGGGTGTTTCTAGTACAGACTAAAACATGGATCCAGTGTATTTAGAGATTCCCCTAATCTGTAAATCCCCATCACTTACATATCCCGATCACTTAAACCCATCTCATCATTTGATACAAGAACTGCATATAGGGGGGGTGAATCATCTTGATTATAACCGCCTCACCTTTGGGACCGAGTATTTCTAACTCCTCCTCTTGTGATCTTTTGGCTCTGGGGATAAGTGAAAGTCTCTGAAACACAGCTGGAGTCTTGTTAGTGATGTGGGCATTCTCTATGAGTGAACTAATGGATCCATGTCTTACATGATATTGTACTCCCCACCCAACCAGAAAGGTGCCAAGTGTAATGAGCACAATCAACAATGCTATTCTGACTCTTATCCCTAGGGGACCCCACAATTGCCTTGGCTTTGTTCTTGACATAATCTCTATTTTATCCCTGGTTGTGTCGGTTACAGGATTTACATAATGAGTACAAAAATAACGTATACAAAACGTTGGACTCTTTTTCAGGTGTAAAACAAAAAATAGGTTTTCACTTTAGTGTACAATCTATAAAAATCTATAGACAATTCGTCTTTTGAGCTGTTTCTATCTTTATCTTATTTCTATTTATTGTTTTGTTCCAGCTCTGCCAAATCAGTCCTAACTCCCAATAATGTTCTGGAAGTTGCCAGTGAAGGGTGACAATGTGTGAGGTGGTGTCAATTTGCTCCTTTTTCTTTACCTTTAAACCGGAGCGCGTGTGAAGTTTGTTACAACTTTTCACGCTTCCGTCCACCGGGGATGAGCCCACTGTCTTTTGTGAACTTTCACCCTCACCCAATCACCTGGCCGAACAGGAGTCTCTTCTGGTGTGTCGTCTGGTATCTCTGTAGTATTCCTAGCTTGTGTAGACAAAACTTGGATAATATTACTCAGAGTTCTGACATATTCATCCACTTCTATTTGTCTAATATCTAAAACTGGACCACTCCCTCCTTGGAGAAGGCCCAAGCTTCGGCATACCTCTTGTTGTTATGAGACCTATTGTTGACTACATTTTATTATTTATTAACTACAACGTCACTGAAATCAACATATCTGTATAATCATGACACTCCCTCCTTTGAGCATAACATGCTCAATTAATATTGCAATGATTACCCTATTATGAACAGGACATGTAAAACCCATAACGTTGCATTAAATAAATATAATTCTCCGTGTACCCACAAGGCGTACAAAAATATCGTATGATGTATGGCTTTCTGATGGTATAAATGCATATTCACTAAAAATCTGCCATTAGCACAAAAAATAGTTTACTTGTTTCAATAATGGCTTTTGTCATGGTATTATGCATCATCGTTGCTGCGAAAAACAATACCCCTGGTGTCGCTAATGCGTCTCAATAATTCTAGGATTAGAGGATTGGGTGATACTGCTGATCTAACATATGATAAAATAATATTTCTCCAAACTAGAGGGAAAATACGAACTATTTTCACAGAGGGTGACATGCATGAAGGGCTGGTGCCCCTCACTCAAAATGAGATATTGCCTTACGCACTAAACTATAAATCAGTAAAGTTACTCAAGAATAAATAAATAAAAACTGATTCTTGAAACTGTTGTAAAAACCCTACAACTTCTTCATCCAAGCTCTCAATCAGTGTTATGTTATTTAATCTGCAGCTCACGCCTAAAAACAGATACTTCAGACCGATTATAAAATTGTGTTTATGAGAAAAAATGTAATCTGACTCCATAAATCACATAATTGTTCGACAAAAAAAAAAGACACTTCCACTAACAATAAATGAAGTTCCCCTTTAAACACAGCCGCAGTCTTCTGGCGGGGTCTATCTAAGTGCTGGCTGGAAAATGTTGGGCCAGTCTCTGTCGCTCCGTCATTGTTCTCCCGTTAACAGTCACTCTCTAGTTCTGCTGGGTTCTTGTTGACTTCTTCACTGGTTTGAGACAAGCGACCCTATCGGACACCTCCCTTTGTAGCCAGACTTCACCACAGCAGAATCGAGTTTCTATTTTCAGGTCCCAACAGCTCCACGTCAGGTGTATCGTCGCCCCTTGAACTGCAGTCGGTGTAAACAGGAGGACTTGGTAAGGATCCTCCGTCTTGGGCGAGTACTAGGTTTCCGTCTTCATATTTTGGGTGGAAACCCATCATCTTGACCTCACTAGCTGTGTGGAAACAATAGTTTTCTGTGTAGGGGAACAACATCACTCGTCATCTCTTTTGGTTTTCATAATTACAAAAATAGTCTACTAAATGTTCTAATCTGTGAATGCTTTATATGTAAATGCAATATTCTACTCTCGATTTAAATAACATTAAACCTCTCCCTCCTGTGGTGACAGATATGGCTCAATGTAGCTGGTTTTCAAAATACCCTTGTGCTGAAGATGCATCACCTGGTGGTCTGGCCCTCTGAGCTTCCTCATTATTGTGGTTGCTACCAGGCTGTCAGTGGCATTTGGTTCATGTTTGGCAGCCCTGTTCGTCTTTGACATCTCTGGGACCCCCTGCCTCCGTCGTCATCATGGAAACCTCCCCTGGGGTAACTGCATGGAGGAGCGTTGTTTGGTGCACTGTTCTGCGGACACTCTCTGGACTAATGTATCAGCCGACCACATTTGTAGCAGCCTTCATCTCTTCTTCTTCTTGATCGTTGCTTTCCTCTCCAGTGTCCCTTTTGTTGATTCTGCAACTGAATCCCTGGCGCTACCTGAGTTTGAACTGTTCGAGGTGTCTGCCCTGCCTTCTCTGGAAGTTTCCCCTCCCTTTTCCTTGTCTTGTTCCTACAAGCTACGGTGTCTTTTGGTGACATGTTTCTTATATACTCGAATGGAATTATTAAGTTATCAAAGATGGAGCACTAATCCTCTAACTAGCACCTTTGTTCCTGATAAATAATATCTTATGTCATCCGAACTTAACTTTGAATCTGTTTTTTTTATTTTATTGTTTTTTAAGTTTTAAAGATTTTTTTCTTTTTTTGGAAGTTTAATATTTTAAAAAAAAAAATTAATAAAGTAAATTAAAAGATAAAAATTATGCAAATTTTAAAATCAGAAATGTTAAAAATAAAAATTGTACAGTGTATGGTTTTGACTTTTGAAATATAAAAATAGAAATCTGGTGAAAATCAAAATATAGTGTGTACTGTGTATACTGAAGTGTATGGTTTTATGCAAATGTCATAACTTGTGTTAGCTTCAATGCATTTGTGTTTGAATATTCTACAGTCTTGTTTGAAAGACTATTATGTAAAGTTTCTTATCTTATAATTAGAAACCACTTGCAATTCTATCTCGGCGATGAAGCATGTGTTCATTTATAACACTCAAAATTAAACTTCAGAATGTTATTGCTATCTTTCCCTAAGAGGTGTTTCCTCTATCTGTGTAATAATTCTGTACTACCAGCAGAGTGCGCTGTTGTAATTTCCAGCTCAATCCACTAGGGATAGCTGTTGCAAAACTGACCTCTATTTAACAAGAAGAAGCTTATTTTCCTTCTTAAAATGGGAAGAAAATTACACTATGGTTAAACAACACAGCACATAACCGCCAAAACACATTTGCAAACAGGAATATTTCAAAAACCGCCAATACACACTTGCAAGCAGAATTACTTCCAAAATCAGATTGGGTTTTTAGGAAATACAATGGTTACTTCCCTACAAATACCAAACTTCCAACGGTAAGATACCCTGACTATTTTCTAGTTCCAACTCTGCCAAGAAATATGATTTGTCCTTCTCAAGATGGAGTGCCTAGCCTCATGTGAGTGGCACTGGGTGTATTAAAACAAACAGAGTACTTTCAATTAGCATTTCACGAAATGGCGTCTGCCGTGTGGCTGATTATCAACATGAGGGCAAGACAAGATGGCAACTGATTTTCCAACCTTTAACCTGAAGAACAAAGGGATTTGAAAATACACCTCGTGGCTCTTACAGGTGTCGCAGTTTCTTGTCTCTCCCGTTTTTGTGCTTAGTGCGTACGCATGGGTTAGAGTTTGCGTGGAGGACCGCACGTTTTCCCGTTAAGTTAGTATTTTATAAATCGCAAACATTGCGTAGAAACTGGCGTACGCCATTTTTTGAGCGTATATCCCTTTATAAATGAGGCCCCTGGTGCGCACCAGAAAACTGACTATTAGGTGTGAATGCGCACTCATGATATGCATTTCCAGAGCAACATTTTCAACTGCATCATCGTTTTAAAGTATTTGTTTAACCAAGGTTCACACTTTTAACAACTGTGAAGACTGCA